TTTTTTTGTGGTTTGATGGAATAGATTTATTTAGTATTTTTACTATGAGATCTAAGATGAGTGCCATTCCTTTTTTTCATTGTTATTTAGAGAGTGCCTTTTTTTTTTTTTGACAAAGAATTGGATGGTATAAACAAAATAAAAAAAAAAGTAAAATTTTGGTGTTAGATATGCAAATACATAGAAATTGGGCGGTACGTATGTAAATGCCCCAAGATTTCTTATGCATTAAGAACTTTATACTTGATTGTTAAGACAATCTAGATACATGGATTGTTTTTGGTCAATCATAGTCGGCGGTGAAATCAATCAAAAACTCTTAAAGGATAGAATTAAATAATTTTTTTTGAGTGAAAAATTCACAGTATTTTATTTTATTTTATTTTATGCGCTTGTGTGTGTGTGTGTGTGTCTATATATATATATATATATTTATAGGGTTGTAAATGAAGCAATGCACTGGATGGTCAACTCAAATTCAGCTCAATTAATTACTCAAAGCTAGGCACTCCTAGAACATTCATCTGGAATCAAAGCAATTTAAACCTCAGTGCTCGGAAGAGATGCAACTACGCCTCCGTATGTTTAATTTAAATCTTGGCACACCTAGAACAACTTCAGATAGAGTGAGTGGAAAGGCAATGCTCGGCAGTGATGCTCTAAACACAAGAAGAGGTTTCTGATTAAAATTTAAGTCTCCAACTTCTATATGAGAATGCATTCTTGACAATGCAAGAGCAAGACAGAATGAGCGTGCAACAAGTTCTGTTTAGAGTTATGAGGCTTGCTCTTCTGCAATTGAGGGAGGAAGAGTGTTTGTGAGTTCCAGACTTGTAGAGAAGAATTCTGAGTGTGTTGTATTATGTACATTTCTCTACATTTCATAGTGAATTTTTTTGTGCTACAGATTCCATGATTTTTTTCAATTCAAATTTTTGCACATTAAATGTTCCATGCTTTTCTTAATTTTTTTTTTAATCTTTATGCGCTTTTGTTAATTTTTTTGTTCTCAATCTCTCAAATTGATGTCTTTCTGCAGTGTGATTTAGTTGTGAATCGATTGAACCTGATTTTTCCATCCCAACACAAATCTTCTGAAACAGAATCAAACTTTTAAACTTAGCCTTAAAAGAACTTAATGAAGATCACCAAGTATTCCGAATATGAACAAGCATTATATACATTAAGATTAATACCTTTTGCGTTTTTTGAATGAAGGAAAATCCTGTAACTTCCCAAGATTATAGCATCCGATAGATTTAGATGGAATACAGATTATTTTAAGATTTTATGATGAGTAAAAATATATAGGGGAGTTTTACATATATAGCACTTAAAATTCTTCATATTACAGATTTCACACCTGAAACAATACTTCGTTCTTCCATAGGCAAAAATATACAATACTACAGGCAGAAGAGCAATCAAATATGCAACACGAGAAGCCAGGATGTAAAAAAAATGAAATTTTAATCAAATTTGCCTACAGAAAAACAGAGTATATATGCCCTCAGTGACAATATGTATAGCAGATGATTCAAGATCAGGTTTAATCTGGAACAGAGCCACAGAGGCATGCTAATGGCGTGCATTTGAGCACCATGATTAAGACAAGTAATAATCAGCACTAGTACTTGAATTTAAAATATTAAAATATATATCAGACTGAGAAACATAAATAAATTTATTTACATGTAGAAAATGAAGAAGTAATCATAAATATGTGAAGCAGCAAAAAGTTGAAGAACAAGTTACTGTTTGGCTTGTAAGATATTAATGTCATACAGGCTGATAGAGTTCTCTTCTTCCCTTCACTCAAATCCACGCATACCTGAAGAAAAAAAAAAGAAAAGTGGTCTCATGAACATGAAATACAAATATTATCCATAATCAAATATAACATGAAAAATGATAGTTTAATATTGTTTTGCAATAATCACAAAAGAAGACAATAAGAACAACCCATGATTAGCCATCCATTCATTGACTGTATTCCCTATATCACCAAACAATTACAATATCCCAAGAATATTTGTTTATCATCATCTTTAATCATAAAATAGGAAGCCCGAATGGGTCTTAAAGTGTGGGGACAAATTAGCCACTAAAGACTCATTTGGCTTTGTTAAATTTGTCCTTAATGAGAACTAATGTAAACGACACAGCACAGTAGGAAGACAGATTTGCCCTAAGTTTGGTAACAGCCTTTGATATTGATCAAGAGATAAGATTATTGTGCAGTTAGCATCGTGTGATGGAGATGAATTTGCAGGTAAGTTGACTAATTTCCATCGTAGAGAAACGATCGAATTATACGTCATCACCTCCCTTTAAAATAATGATTGGAGGAACTATCATCAACATGTTACAAAGTAATTCAAAAGGTCTAGTAGAAAGAGCATTGGTTGAAATATCCGCCGGCCGATTGTGAGAAAAGGTGCGGTGAACAAAAATTAACTTGGAAGAAATAAACTCGCAAAAAAAAGTGACTGTCAATTTTAATATGCTTAGGGCTTCTTTGGGCTCACCTTTGTTTTTTCTTTTGTTTTTTGGTTTCTTTTATTTTTAAAAATGTGTTTGTTTAGTGTGGTTTTTAGATGTTTTATTTTTTGCCTTAAGAAATAAGTTAACGTGTTTTTGAAAATACTTAAAATAACTTTTAGATATTTTGAGTGTTTTTAAAAACAATCTTATTTTATTTTAACATATCAAATATATTTTGTTTTAAATAAAAAACATAAACAAAATAAAATAAAAACAAAGATCAAATTTGATCCCAAATAGTTCCTTAGTATGGCATGATACACAAACGTCTCATTTGGGATCAATTTTATTTTTTATCTTTTATTCTATATTTTGTTATCAAAAATATGTTTAATTAGTACATTTTTTACTGTTTTTTTTCTTTCTAAAAACAAATCTGCATGTTTTTAAAAGACTCAAAATAACTTTTTGGTGCTTTCAGTACTTTTAGAAACAACCATACTTTGATCAAATAATCAAACTTGTTTTGTTTCAAATCAAAACATAAACAAAACTAAACCAAAAAAAAAAACAAAAAAAAACAAAATTGATCATAAACTACCCCCAAGTCATTTACAAGTACAATGGAAGAAATATTTGAAATTTATGATCAAGGTGTCCATAGAAATAGAAAATTCAAGGCAAGTGCGTCAAAGCCGAATAATGTCGATGGCAGCCGATGCGAGAGCATAACATTCAACTTCGGTAGAAAAGCAAACAACGATAAATTGCTTCTTAACACGCCATGAAATAAAAGTAAAACCACCGCTAGTATAAAAACTAGGGTAGATTTTCTATCCGTGGAATCATCAGCCCAATCTAACTCCGCATATGCTTAAAGTAGATCTCCCTTTTTGATCTATCATAGAACGCATTTGAGAAGTTGAAGATGGCATTATAAAGGTTGATGCATGCACTAACATACTTTGTTGATGGCAAAAGTGATATTAGATCGAGTGATAGATATTATAGAGAGCCAGCTAATCGATAGAGAAGTTATTGATCCAAAACTAGGTCGATGGCTGCAATAGAAAGGAATAACATAGATGCAAATGGATCGGATATAGAGGTTTACAATCAGTAATTCCACCTCTGTGAAATATTTCCCAGACATATTTGGACTAACTAAGAGTGATTCCTGAATTGGATTGAAAAACTTGAGGGCCACGAAAGTAAATACAGTTCCCAAATTTCTCATGTGAACGGATTATATCGGTTTTCAAAATCTTCATCATTTCCGACGTGCAGTACTTAATCAACAAAAGTAAGCAAATAAAGTTCTTGTGTTCTAAGTGTAAAAAATCATCAAAGATGGGTCGATAGAGCTACTGATAAAGGTTGGAAGATTTAAAGCATACCACTCAATTCTTATATATTTAAGTATCTAAGACCTAAACTTCAATTTTTACATATGTGTCATTTTACCTATGCACGAAAAGGTGTATCTCACCTTTTTAAAGTTAAAAAAGTGGTATTTTTTATGTGATATGAAAGACTTGGGTGGTATTAATATAAAAAGTAAAATAGAGGTGTAAGATAAGTAAATACATAAGAATTGGGTGGAGCATATGTAAATGCCCCATGAAAGTTTGAATTTAGAGAAAAAGAGGCAGACTAACATTACATTAGCAGAAAGCTTGCTTGAGGTCATATATGGCATTTTTTAAAAGACAAACATGAGTGAGATACCAAGAATCTTTGAACTCTTGATGTTGAGCCATATGAACCGTTTCATCAAGGTTCGTGTGTAAAAATGCATTGGAGATATCTAACCGTGGAACTCGTCGGTTAAATTGAAGAGCCACGAAAAGAGGTAATCATATAGTAGGTAATTTAACTGACTGAAGATTTTCTTGTAATGAATGTCATATTCTTGGTTGTAATCTTGAACTGCTAAACGAACTTATGACAATCAATAATACCATCAGAAATACATCTTAGTTTAGAATCCACTTGTAGCCAAGCACATTTTGGTTGGGCTGGTCTAAACAAGCACACAAGTATCTTGAGATTGAAAAGCATTGACTCAGCAGAGACAACTAGCCTCCAAGTATGGCGCTTAATGATGACAAGCCAGAGAAAGCAGAAAATTTGCCAAAAGTATGACTAGATTAGAGATTTATTTTGGTTTAAGTGTTTCTAATTAAAACATAGTAATCATGCGATACCATGGACGAGAATGTGCTTTATAGGCAAAGTGGAGAAGTGTTTGACTGCTGAAATGAAGAGGATGTCTTGAAAGGCATAGGGAGTAAAACAATTTGTAGAGAGGCATGTGAAGATGAAAGCAAAATTAGAGGAAGCAATAGATGTTGATGCGATAGAATGAGCTGAAGTAGAACTTTGTGGAGAGGAGAGAGTAGTACCCTAAAGGGTAAGTGGAGTTGGCATGGAGTAGGTTGCAGAAGTATTGGAAGAGGTAGAAGCAGCATGATAAATATTAGATTAATCAAAATAAACATGCGGAGATATGATAACTGCAATGATAGAGCAGTGGTTCGAGAGGAAACCGCCACCATGCTAGACATATGTTCAGGGGATAACAACACATCCCAACCAGAAGCACATTCGAGCATTTCATCATTAGGTGAATCACATCGAGAAACAAATTCAGATCAGGTCATACAAAGTACTTTTCTTATATAAAAATTATGTAAAATCAATATCACTACTAAAATCATTAATTTTTTATAGGGCACAATTTTTAAAGTGGTCGGTCACTTACTAGTGGCGGGGAGTAGCCAGTATAGTGCACACTGTTTATAAATACATTACAAGTTGCAGATATCATTTGTGTTAGGCACTTACAATACATCATCGTTGGCTCCATTAACAATTTTACAGGGAGTATTACAAGGATTTACAATTAATTTTTTTAAAGGCATGTTAAGACTTATATTTTGTACATATTAGGTTGTTTTGTATTTCCACATACATCTAGATCACATGTTTAATTGCAATATTTACCATTATTGTATAATTTCAATGAATTTGTACGATATTCTTTGGGAAGGTCGATGCTGATACATTTATTAGAGAATAAATCTATCAACTAAGTATACCTTTGTTACTATCGTTGGGTGTTTGCATTTGCTTCAAGTGTGGAGTTGGGAGTACTTGCATGTTAGTAGACCCGCTCTTTATGTTCCTACTCCCCATAAATTATCAGGCAAATCGCTCGGATTCAAGTACATAATCAATTTTTATATGCATATATACACAAACTATTGATTGGCTTATCCTCGTTTGTTTAAATAACATGTAGATAGATTGCAGAGTGGATGCGTGAAGTGTCAGTTGAAAATCTTAAAATATATAGAGTCGAATTTGATGAACTTAGATAGATTCAGGTATTTTATACATTTTCAATTTAATTACATGTCTGTGTAATACTTATGCAAGATATAATTAAAGATATAACTTGATACTCAGGTTATTTTGACGTCATATTTAAATATTTATATGGTGTTATTACATGACATATGTTTTGAGAGCATGGATATTTGGACCGCGCTCCACTAATAAGTTGAAAGTCTGTCAACTGGCACCTTCCAGATCACATTATACAATAATTTGCTAGAATTCAATCTATAGTTATTGATCTTATAGAATGAGATTTTAAGAGAGTCGGATGGCAAGTCAAATCAAAAGTTGACTAGATGCATTATCGTTGATACTATATAGAGATATGGAATAATTGCTAAGCATACACAGTACCATTGAACTCACCATGAGGAGACAACAGTCCATAACTCACTACTTATTTGCAGCGGTATAGATCTTGCGCGTCAATCTGCTTAATGTAACCACCTCTCCAATCATCGGATATTTATTACTCCTGATCACCATAAGAGAGAATAACAATATGTATTAAGTATATTTTATAGCTACGACGAATTTTTTCTGTTGTGATGCATAATAATAGACATAGGTCCGGTTCTGATTGGCATAAAAACCCCTCCAGCAAACGGGCTCCGGTTCAAAAAAACCGTTCAATTCACGGGCAATTACATACCTATCGCCGAATTTTATTTATTTTTTATATCTAACACACAAACTCTATTTTTTACATTTATACCACCCAAATCAGTCATATCATATCAAAAAGATCATTATTACAAAGAAATTCAATTTACATGAATACCAATCAATTTTATTTATTTACATAACTAACACCTTAACTCTTTATTTTACATTTATATTGCCAAAATTATCTATCATCTATATCACATAAAACCACATAAAACATATAACTATTTTAATTTTTAAAAAGTGAAATACATATTTTCATGCATAGATAAAATGACATATGTTAAAATTAATTTTTAGGTGTTAGTTATTTAAATACATAAGAATTGAGTGTAATGTAAATATTTTGTATTGTTATTTTTAAATATATTTATGATTTATTTGGCCATCTGGTTGAACCTTTGGTTCAACCTTTGAACTTTCAACCTCTCCTTCTACCAGTTCAATTTCCAGTCTGGTTTTCACAATCTTGAGATGAATTACTTTATTTGTAGAAAGTATGGTAGAAGTGATAGTTCTATGAAATAAGAATATGATGAGATCTTGGAGTTCTCACGTAAAGTGGAATAATCAATTCATATTGATAATAGTGCATTCGATAGACCAAGTGAACATGATTTTGAGGTGGGGTCATCTCATAGAACAAATGTAAGACCACATGACCATCGTAGATCAACTTATGATGCTCCATGTCGGTCAGCTTCTACTACTCTGATACGATCAATAGTTGATGCTTCAAGGAGATATTTAGTTTCCATAACACATAGATCTCCCTTAAATGAGTCGCATGATCAATCTTATCTAGAATAATTCACATATATTGGTCAGCCAATATTTGCAAGGCCCTCAAATTATCCCCGGACCATCGACATATGAAGGTGTATCATATTACATACAGTGGACAACTTCTGCTAGTCGAGATCAGGATTTAAATTTTCAGGACATGCCCGTACATATATCTAAAATAAGCTTAAATTTGGGTGCATCTCTAATTTATACAACACCAATTCTTATGAACGAATAAAACTACTGAATGTCACGTCAAGCTATGAAAGATGCAACTGAATATGAGGATGTCATAGAATTTCAAAAAAATTAGTCGCAACATTAACCAATTCGACCACCATATGCACTTGGGTCGGGCATCATTCCACCCCAATGTAGAACATGATAGTACTTTGTATGCATCATGTTTATGAGTATATTTTAATTTGGAAGAAATACTATGAATTTGATTTATTTCTAGTTAACTCATATTTTTCACACATATTTTTTACTAATAGCATACCTCCATAATTAAAGCATTTCCTGAACTCTTTCTCTAATCTTATCCATAAGAAATATATCATCCGCGAAAAACATACACCAAAGACCTTCATTTAAGTAGATCTAAAACTGAATGCAAGGAATGTAATTTTATTAGTAGCAGCTCTAGTGGCAGAATTGTAATTATGGGTGATCAAATCATTAAAAGGTGTGAACATTTTAGATATCCTGGGTCTATTATTCAGGTAATGGTGATATAGATGGGGTTGTTAATAATAGAATTCAGAATGGTTGGTTGAAATAGAGGAATGCATCGAGCATATTGTATGAAAGAAAAGTGCTACTTATACTTGAAAAGAAAATTTATAAGATTGTGGTGAACCGTACTATGAAAGGGTTGGTGTAGCTCCAATGGAGGACAGGATGAGAGAGTCATCCTACATGGTTTGGTCATATTAAATGTTGATCATCTCATGATTTGATTAAGAGACTAGATATTTTAGATTCGACTTACGTTAAGAAAGGCAAAGGTAGACATAAAAAGACTTGGGCATATTTTTATAAAAAAATGATCTTAATATATTAGAACTAAATGAAAATAGCGCACTCAATAGGACACAATGGAGAAAAAGGATTCATGTAGCCGACCGCACTTATTGGATAAAGGCTTGTTGTTGTTGTTGTATACTTTCTGCTAATATGGTTTATTAAACAAGCTTGAAATAGATTAAATAAAATGATATATAATATGTACTTAAAACTAATTAAAAATAATATGTAATATATATTTATAAACTAAATAAAATATATAACAAAAATATATATAAATTGCCCATGTTAAGGGTGTCTTATATAAAACGCCCCATAGGGGGCAATTTATGTAAGACACCCCGGCTATGGGAGTTTATGCTCCTAATTAAATTTTATTTTCGTGATTCTTCCATGTAAATAAATTATATATGCGGTCCTTATAATTTGGACGTATGTCAATCCCCCTATAAACAAAATAGACAAACAGTACGAGAAGTAATCATAAACTACTAATTTCAGCTGCAGTTTATGCACCAAGAAAAATCATTACCAGCAGGAAACATATTTCTGCCAATCATTGAAATCTCAGAAGGAATTCATCTCCAAACAATATGTTCTCCTCTTCACTAGCATCTTTGCTGCACTCCTGTATGGTTCCTCCAAGGCATTTGAGACCCAAGACAAATCTAAGGGCTCGCCAATACTGCAACCTCCAGCCACTTCCTTCTGAGAATTTTCACTAGGCCGGATAGCAACTAGTGTTGCCCCTTTAAGAACTAATCCACCTGGCATCTCAAGAAGCGGAGCATACCACAACCTCATGCTGAGTGCTGGGACCAATGTCCGCTGTGAAGAACCTGAAGCTGATACAGGCCTTACTCTTAGATCCTGTAGCTGACATCTATCCATGGTCAGTACACCTTGGCCATCTGCATCGGTGAGATCCAAGAACTCCAATGTCTCGTGATCACTGATGATGGATTGGAGGAGGTAATGCCGCGCAGAGGCGGCAATGAGAGAACTGATTGTCCATAGAACTCTAAGCTTCAGTCCCCCGTTCATATAGAAAGATTCAGGAATGCTGCCGTTGTCTTCACTGGCACAAAGCTCATGCGTAGGGTTAGCATTTGCAGATTTGGAGGAGAGGACAGATGCAGCACCAAGGATGACACAGCTGTCAAGGGTGGATCCAAAATCAGCCTTCCATTTGAGAAGAACACCTTCATCAACGCCGAGTTCGCCGGCTGGAAGCTCAATCCGAAGCCGCCGGATCTCCTTAAAATTTTTCAGCACCTCAGAGGGGGAGTGGTGTGAAACTTCAGCTGAGGAAGAGGACGAGGCCGAATTGGAGGATGAAACGCGCTTGGAAGAGGGAACAGAGAGAATCTGACCAAGGACGTAAAAGGGTCGCACAATCCCGCCGAAAACGAAACGAGCAAGATGAGAAAAAACCCCGCGGGATCTATCACCAACGACAGCAGCGAAAGCAGACGAGGAGGAGGAGGACGATGATGAAGAAAGAGAAGGATCGTCCGGTATAACGCAGTCAACGCGGACGACAACGTTGTCGACGAGGGGAACGAGAGCGTGGAAACGGCGGGAGACGACGCAGCACCGTCCAAGTGCCTTCACATCGCCGATCCGGTTGAAGATGACAATCAGGATCGAGTCTGGCAGGCGATCAAAGTTGTCGATTCCGTACTCCGACGACGACAATGTCAAAGATAAGCGGTGGACGCACCACCTGTGGGATTCCAGTAGATCTGCTGCCGCCGATGACATATTGTGGCTGAAATGAAAGAAAAAATAAGATGGAAACCTAGAAAGACATGTTTGCCGGAGCCCGGAGAGATTCGGAGGGTGGATCCCACGGCAGAAGGGAAGAATTTAGAGTTGAGCTGATTCAAGCAAGGAAACAGAAGACGTGGGGAGGAAGATGGGGTTTGGAGCTGCCGCGAATTGTTCGGGTGAGATGGTGAGGATAAAGTGAATACATGACATAGCATGATAGCATGCAAATTTTATCTATTAAAAGTTAAGTGCCAAAATAATCTCAATTATTTATATGAATTTATTTTAACCTCTAAATTTATAGAAGTGTCAAATTAATTTTTTTAAAATAGAATTAAAATTTGGTTTTTTGACTTTTAATATTGTTTTAATCTTTTTAGCGCCTCCAAAAAAATTACAGAAGAATTAATGCACATAAAAAAGATTAAAGAAAAGGAAAAAAAATTGTAATAAAAGAAACAGAAAAAAATATCTAACTTATAGTTCTCCTATATTTCAGAACATTTTTTAATGCACGTCTCCCGACAACGATACCAAAAACTTGATGGTCATAAAAATTGACGCGAAGAGGACGGCTACTTCATACAAGTATACATGTAAAGATAACAAGCGATTTGCAAAAACACCACATATCGTTCCTACGATAAAGTGTGTCAAGAAACATATCCAAAAAGACAGAGCAACAATTTACTAGTTATTTCCACCTAGTTCAATGTGATTCAAAAAAAACCAAAAAGATAAATCCTAAATTGATCAGAATTGGCAGAAAGCAGAAGCATGGGAAACACGGGTCAAATTTCTTTGGTGTTTCTTCAAGATTGTTGAGGATCGTGTCTTTACAATTCACGTGTAGCATCTGACTTTACTTTTCGTGTAATTTCTCTTACATGGTTATTGTCAACCAGGGATGATATTTCTTCTTAATCCTATGCCTAAGTCAAAAGAAGAATTGGAATTCCTCAAAGAAAAGTTGTGTTTATCTTTATGCCTTCCTCAATATTTTTCAGATCCTATTTGTTTGTTGCAAGATCTGTAATAAAAATTTTCTATTCTAATCAAATCTTTTCGTTAATCTTATTGTTTCGCTACACTTTTGCCAAAGTCGTTGATCTGATTTATTTTAACACTCTAACTGGTCAGATTCGAAGTCCAGAAGATTAAACAACAATGTTAAACAATCAAAAACACAAAAAATGTATTATAAGAAATAAACAACAAAAATCAAGCCAGAAAAATCATTCATAAATCATAGAAGCACAAAAATTAATTTAGCTACACATATTTTGAAAGAAAATACATGAAATCTCATGAAAATCTGTAAGAAACATCTTTACCAAAATAAAAATAGACTTACAAACTTTGTCAATATCCCCTTCCAAGAGCAGTAGAAATAAGTCTGACACCTCTCAAAGAAAGTAGACAAAAATGGTAGAAGAGAAGAAGAACTCTCTCAAACCCAGTCTCTGCTCCGAATTCTCTCCTAAAAGCTACCTTTAATTCTTCCTTAATGTCCTTTTTAAAGGTTGGGTTTGAAATCTATCCAAAACTATCGGAATCCCGCTCATAAAAACCTTCCAATTGAAGCAGATGTGACGGTGCGACCATTCCCGCTTTGTGGCGTAATTACGCCAATCTCTCAGGTTAAGAGCGTGGTCACGCCGCCTATAAGCGCGACTATACCTAGACACCAAGAGCGTGGGCATTCCACAGAGAGGGCGTGACCATGCCTGATAAACGACATGGCTACGCCAAGAGTAAGGGATGTCGCGCGATCCTCTGGTCACGGCATGACTATGCCCGTAAACCAGCATGCCGACGTCGCACACAAGGCTTGGCCACGTCATAAGGTTATGCCAGACTGATTTATTCTAAATTTACCTGTTTCACTTTGATTTGCGTGATAATCCTCCCAAAACCTGCAAAATACAATTCCAATCTTCTAAAGCATACAATTATGAAATTAAAGGAGGAAAATCCTTGAATAAAAACAAAAGAAATGTGAAAATTTGAAGTATGCCAATCCCCCTAAATTTATAGATTATTTTTTTCTCAAGTAATCTGTATGCTCAACTCAGATTTTCAAAGGAATTGATTGCCTTTATTTTATGTAAATCTTAGTCAATTAATAGAGAAGAAGTGAAAAAACTTATTGAGGTCTTATGATATCCACATTCAACTTAGGATTTCTTTAAATAATGCAATCTTATACATCTCTTATTCAAACATGAGAACTCTTTATTATTTAAATTGGTAAGACTATGATCTTTTTTATACCACCAAAATAATTTAAGTGTTTAATGGTTATTAGAACAAATGCTTTCCTTTAAAATTTGATGCATTTATAAAGTCCTTAAGATCTTGATAAAAATATAGGTAATTCATTTGGCATGGGAGGGAGGCTAGAATATTAGAATTTCAGATATGAGAGTACATAACTTCAAGCTTCTTCTTCTTGAGTCCTCCAATATACTTTTTGAATAGATAAATATACATCTTTATTATTTATTATTATTATTATTATTATTTATTATATAAGTATATTTTTTTATGGACCTACAAGAATTTCTATATTTGGTTAAGCATTAAACCATTTTCCCCCTATTTTTCTTTTTCTTTGTGTATTCTAGTTTGGCCTTAATCATTTGTGTACCTATCCCTATCATGATCCTTGGTTCTAGATAAATTCAATCAAATGAAGTTCTCCCCTTGTTCAAATAAAAAATTAAGGCTTAATAATTCTAATGCTAAATAATGAATCTCATCATTCTACCTTTTTAAATGTCAAAATACTTCTATGTTTAGGTAGAAGAAAAACATTTTATGCATAAAATTAATAATATTCACCTCTATCCTAACTTTAAGCAAATTTCATATTGACTCAACATCATTTTTACTTTTCAATATTAATGGACTAAGATGCATAAAATTAGGCAGCAAATATAAATCTCAGCATGTAAAAGAAATACATATAGGCAGCTAAAAATGTAAGGTCTCCTCCCCCAAACTTATTTCACATTCTATTGTTTAACATGTGAGTAGCATAACATTAGGATATAAAAAAATTACAGACGGTGAATCACACAACAAGCCATAACAAGTAGGAGTCTGGGAACATGTTATCAAAGTGTTGAAGGTAGTAAAATTGCAGATAAAAGTGCAACTGGTAGGACACAAATGTGATAACAAGAAAAAAAAGTAGAGAATATGATATGAAAAATTAGTCAAAATATCATCTCAATACATCCACATCATAATCATCACAACATAAAACTTCCACAATGTCTGCAATTTACATAAGTACATCAGATATGTAAAGAAAACTATTGAAAACACAATTCATCCAAAAAGTCATCCAAACATCAATCCCTCTACTCATCGAGCTCACTCTCATCCATAGAATCTCACAAAGGACTGGTAATCGTAAATGATGGTGACAATGGTATAAGTCCCTGATGTCCCTAGAAAGCTCCCAACCGATCATGAATGTACTCATATTATCTTTGATGTTGGCCAACATCTTAGGCTGATAGTCGATGCTAATCATTGAGCTTTCAAATCATCATATTCTGAGTGGTGCGCACTCCCTCATGTCTCAAACCAGGTCACCCTAAAGTGTCAACATCTCTTGGAGTTTCATCTGACTCCCTACCACTTCTTAACTTTAATGCATGCACCTGCACCTGCACCTGCACCTTTCCTTTCTCCTTAGGGTTGACTTCGGTGTTACTAGGAAGAGCTCCTGGGTTCTTATGGTTGAAACAGGTCACTAATTGCCCCAAATTGTCCCTCAATGTTCCTAATTTCTAGCTCATGACTTTGTGTTATCAAATGTAATTGCCTCACTAACTCATCCGAAGTAGCTAGCTTTTGGTTTTGATGTTGGTTAATTCTAAGAGGTTGGTTTGGTTTTAGTCCTTGGACAACTTGGTTATGTGTTTCTCCCCCTTGATTGGTTTGGTTATTGTTGTTGTATTGAAGGTTTGGGTGTTGCTTCCATCCAGTATTGTAGGTATTCGAGCAAGGGTATTTGGAATGGTTCTGGATTCATATAGCTTTAAAGACTTCTAAGGCAGAGGCTATAAAATCTCCTAGGGCGTCATCACTAAAATTCTCAACCTAGGGTGACTATTGTACCACATTCATGGTGAAATTATCTAATTTCTTAGATTCGTCAGCTATTTCAGTTGCTAGGATAGACATGACGTCATTCATGCACACTAGCTACCTTTTTGGGTTGCAGCCTCTCAGTAGACCATTGAAAACTACTGGTAGTCATCTCTTCAATCAATTCATAGGCCTCCTCAAATGATTTGGACATGAATGAACCTCTCACAATAGCATTTATAAAGGGCCTAAGGAAACCTACAAGCCCATTATAGAAGCTCTGACGATAAATCAATTGGGTAAGGTATGATGGGAACACTTTCTAAGCAACTCTTTAAATCTCTCCCAGGTCTCACAGGATGTCTCTCCCTCAATTCATGTGAAAGATATGATGTCATTCCTATGTTTGATAGTTTTAGAAGGAGGTAATACTTAGTTAGGAATTTCTGAGCTAAGTCATTCCAAGTAGTGATGGATCCTAGGGCTAAAGAGTTCAAACACACTTTAGCTCTCTCCCAAAGGAAGAATGAGAAAAGCCTTAGTCTAATGGCATCACTGGAGACACTGTCTACTTGAATGTGACACATAATTCTAGGAAGTTTGCTAAGTGCAGATCAGGGTCTTCAGTGCCCCCCAAACTGGTTCTACTGAACCATAGTAGGTCTCAGTTCAGTTAGCAAGATCCCTAAGGTGTATCATGACTGGGTACAGATGGTGATCCATTTCTAAAGGTGTTTTGAGTTCAATAAGTGCTCTCTTACATCGCCTAAAGGTTCGATTAATTTCAGGGTCAATGTGTCTCATGACTGAGTATGTTTCTTCAAGATTGTTAAGGATCGTGCTTTTGTAATTCAGGTGTGGCATCTGACTTTACATTTTCATACAATTTCTTCTACGTGGAACCATGGATGATATTTTCTTCTTAAGCCTATACCTAGGCCATAAAAAGAATTGAAATTCCACAAAGATATGTTGTGTTTACTTTTATGGTTTCCCCAATATTTGTTAGATCCCCTTCATTGGTTGCAATAGCTGTAATAAAATATTCTTATCATTATAAGATCTTTTAATTAACCTAATTTTTTCACTACACTTCTGTCGAAGTCGTAAACCATGATTAATTTTAACACCCTAATTGGCTAGGTTAGGAATAAATGAAGGCTAGAAGGTTAACTAATAATGTTAAAATCAAGATCACAGAAAACATATTATAAGAAATAGACAACAAAAATCAAGCTAGAAAAACCATCCACAAATCACAAAGGCACGAAAAATAATTTAGTTGCTCAAGTTTTGAGAGAAAAGCACATGAAATCTCATGGGAAACAAACCCAGTAGGAAACGTCTTTATAAAAAATAAAAAATAGACTTAAAGGCTTTTTCAATCTCCCATTACAAGGGCAACAAAAATAATTCTCTCAAACACCTCTTAAAGTAAAATGACAAAAACAGGAGAAGATAAAAAACACTCTCTCAAATCCTAGCATCCACTCTAATTTTCTCTGCGAAATGCTCCCTTTAATTCTTCCTTAATTTCATTTTTAAAGCCCGAGTTTGGAATCTTTCCGAAACCATTGGAATCCCGCTCATAAAAAACCTTCCAATTGAAGTAGATATGACAGTGTGATCACATCCGCTTTGTGGCATAATTAATCTAATCTCTCAGGTTGGACGCGTGGTCATGCTGCTTATAGATGTGGCTACTCCTAAACATCAAGCACACGAGCCATCAACCGAGAGGACATGGCCACACCCAAAAAAATTTTGTGGCTGCGATAAGAGTAAGGGATGCCGCACAATCTTCTAGTCACGACATGACCACGCACGTAAACCATTATGAATACGTTGCACACACGGTGTGGCCATGCCAGAACTTAGTGTGGTTACGCAAGGCTGACTTATTCCAAAGTTTTATGTTTTGCTTCAATTTGGGTGCTAATCCTCCTGAAACTTGCAAAACACAATTCCAGTCTTTCAAAAGTGTAAAATTGTGAAATTAAAGAAAGAAATTTCTAGAACTAAACCATAAGAAATGTGAAAGGTTGAGGAATGTCAATCACTAACCCCACCGACTTCAAAACCTCCGAAGTATACCATAGTATGAGAAACCATTTAGTAATGAAACTAATTTTGGATTTCTATAATTCTTTCAGGTTTCTGAAAATTTGATAAAAGATAATTCTTCTAATTTTTCCTAAATGATAATTCTTTAAGTTTACCCATAACAACAAAGTTGTAATTTTTATTTCTCTTGAAAAATCTTTATAACTTTTAATTTACATGTGATTTACTTGCACTCGAATATATTTGACCTCACTACATGTTATTTGTAACATTGGCAAGTTGTATTTCTTCATTCGATACACTGTATTCCCTTAAAGTGCTCATGTTTTTCTAATATTTGTAATTTTTGTTTAGGAATGAGAAGTTAGAGCTCACCATTATTCCTACATGTGTTGAATGTTTTCATTAACCAACTATGGATTATAAGCTAGTTTGCATATCAACCAACTCAAATAACTTGAAAAGAGAAAAGTTCCATACTTTCCTTTTATTATAAAATCATTCATAGTCACTTAAGGATATGTTGGATGAGTGAGATAAGAAGTTGAGGCCATATTTATATGAAGATGGAATAACATCTTTATGTTTCTATGATTAAAGAAAGAAAGATTGACCTTCATACCACAGAGACCATTAGAGGTTTGGGGAATTCAAATTCCCCTCACCATCCACTCTCTCTCTCTCTCTCAAATTGAAGCTTTTCTCGTGCTCCTGCTCTCAGTCAAACTCTCTGCATTACTCCCCTCACTCTCCCATACTCCGGCGAACTCCGATGGCCAACTATGGCAAAATGGTGTGTGGTGCTGAACTTTAGAGCAATCTAGACCTCCTTTGTCCCTTCTGTCTAAATGAGAAGTGCTTGCTCAGGAACCTGGTGGAGCTTTGGGCTTGCATGTAATCAGCTCTTACCCCTGCATTTGAGCTTCAAGCTTGCATGAAATTATGCCAAAATAAACACAACATGATAAAATACTATATACATATATATATATATATATACCCCTTAATTTTAACTTAGTTACGATTAAGATTTTAACGTTTAAATTTTTAAAAATAAAAAAATAATATAGTAATATTAAATTAATAACAATATCTGTACTCTGCTCAAACGCGGCAGAGCAAATAGCGGAGAAAACCGGGTTCAGCTGCAACCAAAGCGGAGTCTGAAGGGAGTAGCGATGCTCGCTTCTTTCCGATTCTCTGCCTCTCCTCAAGCCACTGCAACGGGAATACCAAAGACGTCACCGGTTCTTTGCTCCATCTCCTCTTCTTCTCCTCCCACCATCAAAAACTTCAACTTTACTCTTCCCACTAGAAGAGCAGCTCTTTTCCTTGCTTCTTCTCTCACCTCTTCTCTGCTCCAATTCCTCGCCCAGTCCCACTTCGCAAAAGCCCTAGAGAAAGACGAACCCCAAGAAGAAGAGGAAAGAGTTGTACGGATCTTTCAGGTAACCCACTCTCCTCCCCTCTCTCTCTCTCTCTCTCTCTCTCTCTCTCTCTCCCACCCCCACTCTTCCTCCTTAAGTTTGAAGGAGATGGGTGATGTGCATATATTTTACTTATATTGAGCGTTTGGCTATGATGTAATTAATGCAAAAAAAAATGCATTTTTTATTTTTAATTCCCTGCCGTGGGGGAACATTAGTAAGCTATTGGAACATGAATGTACTGCTTGGCTCTTCCAAGAAATAGAATTCAATTCCTCAACCACAAATGAAATCACTTCTTTTTTCATTAAGGCAAAACAAATTTCTTCTTTTTTTTTTTTGGAAGATTGGCATATATGTAACACTCAATTCTTTTGGACTAGGACACCATTCTGTATTTGTTGGCCAAAATTTTGTCTTATCAAAGCTTTAACTTCTTTCTACCTTCATTTAGATAGGTTTTATTCTCTCTTCCAGTGCTTTAAGGGGTCAATCAAGGCCTCTATGAACCTAAATAAATTCTAGAGAATCTTTAAACCGAGATCTCTCTTTCTCTTGCTCTCTTCTCGGGCATGATACAAATTTGTGACAGGGTCTTGATGTCACTTTATTGACAAGATGGGCAGTATACATGGATCAATGTCTAAGGATTAGACCATGGAGTGCCCTGAGGAAGGATTGCTATGGAGCAACAATTCCATTGGTTACTGCACTTATGACCAACTTTAGCATATGTAGGATTACATGAGCAAGATGGTCCATAAAATCTTCAAACAATTACTATAGATTGACCTCAAGCACAGTCTCTTTAATCATGTGGCTCAGCCTCCTCTCCTTTTTTACATTATCATTCTAATCCAGAGTTACTGCACTGGCTTCTTTTAATGATGATTTGTATCTTGTAAAGGATAGTATCACAGAGACTCCTCTTCATCACCAATCGAGAAAGCACAAGGTGCAATCCGTCAACACCTTTTTAGTAGAAATCATGGAAAGGTCTATTGCAGAATATCAAGTGAGAAATTATTAAGACCCCACTACCATAGATTAAAGATTTAAGATGAGAGCAAGGACTATGATGACTCTATCGTAAGATTATGGTCAAGGGTGAGGCAAGATAGGTTCAAGTTAGAACAATAATCAAATCCATGACTCTTAGTAGGCATTGATTCTGTTATATTTTATTGTATTTATTTTTTGCTTATACTATTTTCATTTGAACTCAAGGAGAATGTTATTTGCAAGGTAAGAATGCCAAATATAAAAAAATATAATATGAGCTAGAACTTTTATCCAAATGAGGTCCGCTATGAAACATTATGAGAGTGTGGTTTGCAATGTCACATTATTATTTCCAGTAGAACTTATCAAGTCATCAAAGTCCAAGTCAAAAGAAAAATAACCAACTACCTTTTGAGGCGTTTAGATTGTTGTTACATCTTCCAAAAATTTCATTTAATGAAATTAAATGGAGTTATAAAGTTAAATTAATGGCTAAAGTGCATTCATTGTAATTTGATTGTTCTTTTATTTCTCTTATCTTATTCTAATTTATAATGCTCATTAATTTCATAAATCTATAAAAAATAGCTTTGAAGTGAAATAAAATTTGCTTGTACATGACTTTTCTTTTTTCTTAGGAAATACTTAATGGTTTAACTTCTTATCTTTGCTTTGATGACCTTGGTAAGAGGTTTAAAAATTGTTATTTTTTTTATTTGTACATTTTCTTTCTGTATTTCTTGTTCGAACCTCTTCTTTGAGTTGTATGGAGCTTTTCTCTAAGTTATTATGCTCCTACATTAAGTTATTATTAAAACACGTAAGACACTTAAATTCAAACTCATCTAACCAACCATCCTTTCACTGTCCACACCAAAATATCCTTACAACCACCCAAAACAATTTTAGATTTTCACTCATCCAATCTCATATAAATCTCTTTTAAGCTTTGAACAAAATTAACCACTTAAAATCATCCGAGACCCCTGTTAGAAATTCATGGTTGAATTTTATGACACAAATTCAAAAAATACATAATAGCCAAGAAAGATCTTTTAAATGATTTTTACATATCTATCATAAAGTAACACATACCTGTATTCATGATGAAGAAATTTGATTTTGAAGAGATGAAGTTTCTCTCTCTATTCTCTTGAAACTTTCTGTACTTTCTTATGGAGGGAAATGTATGAGGTGTGTTGGGAAGAGAGATAACTCATTCTTTAAATCATGCTCTATTTAACCACCATCTATCAAGAGGGTTACAAACCAATAGGATTTATGATGATTTAATAAATTAATTGATTTATTATTATTAAAATCAATAACATAAGTTAGTAACCCTTATTCATTTTAGAGATTACATGAGCTGTAAAATTAATATCATAAGTTATCATAAGTTATGAGTTAAGATAATAACTTAAGTTGTCAAAATAAATATCATAAGTTGTCATATGTCATGACATAAATTATGAGTTAAGAAAATACATAACTTAAGTTATTAAAATAAATATCATAAGTTGTCATAATAACTTAAGTTATCAAAATAAATATCATAAGTTGTCATAATTTATGACATAAGTTATAGGTTAAGAAAATAAATAACTTAAGTTATCAAAATAAATGTCATAAGTTATTAAAATAAATGTGAGTCATAAGTAAAATATAACATTATTCTACTTAGCTCACTTAATTTTAATAGTGCATAACATACTGCACAAAATGTAAGATAAATTATTTTTTATATTGACTAAATCATAAATTATTTAACAAGTATAAACTTAATATGAATTATGGTGGTTGTGCATCAATTTATCGACACATTCTTTTCCATGTATCACAATATCGATTACATACTTAGCATAATGAGAATTAACATCATAGTCCCATAATGTCTATTAAAAGATAAATTTTGTTGAATATCGTGCAACATAAAGTATACACTAACGATAAAAACAAGATTTATAAATATCAAAAACAAGAAAAATTGGACCCAAAGTGTCAAACTATAAAGAGCATAAAACTAATAAAGGGTTTTGGTAATGTCCATTCTCACGACATGTAAATTAAATGTCTTCGGTGACAACTCTTTTGTCAAAGGATCTGCAATCATGAGATTGATGCTAATATGCTCAATTGACACCCTATATTTCTGAACTTCTTCCTTAACGACAAGGTATTTTAATTTCATGTATTTAGCTTTGGAATACTTGTCATTTTTGGAAAAGAAGACTACTGCGGAGTTATCACAATAAATTTTCAGCGGCTTGACAATACTGTTGACAATTTCGAGTCCTGAAATAAAATTTCGCAGCCATAAACTCTAAATTGTAGCTTCAAAGCAAGCCACAAATTCGGCTTCCATAGTGTAAACAATTGTGATAGTCTGCTTCGCACTTTTCAATGAGATTGCTCCTTCAACCAAAAGGAGATTTTCTGGTATCAACACATCCAACAAAATCTGAATCTGAATATTCTATCACTTCAAGATCTTTCGATCTTCTATAAGTGAGCATGTGATTCTTTATTTCTTGTAGATACCTCAGAACTTTCCTTACAACTTTCCAATGATCTATTCCTGGATCACTTTGATATCTGTCCAGCATCCCGATAACAAAGTTAATGTCTGGTTTGATACAAGTCTGAGCATACATTAAGCTTCCAACAATAGATGCATAAATAATTTCTTCTATTTGTTTACGTTCTAAATCATTCTTTGGTCATTGCATAAGACTGAATTTATCTCTTTTTTGAATTGGAGCAACACTTGCTGAGCACCATTCCATATTGAATCTCTTAAGAACTCTTTCAATATATGTTTTCTGAGACAACCCTAACAAACCTTGTGATCTATCACTAAATATTTCAATTTCAAATATATAAGATATCTCACTCATATCTTTCATTTCAAAGTTCTTAAAGAGAATATTCTTGGTTTCATATAATAAGCTAAGATCATTAGTAGCCAGCAAGATGTCATCAACATACAGAATGAGAAATATGATTTTGCTCCCACTGACTTTTAGATATATACACCGATCAACAGTATTTTCTTTAAATCCAAAGGACGTGATTGTATCATTGAACTTAAGATACCATTATCGGGAAGTTTGCTTAAGTCCGTATATTGATTTCTTAAGTTTACACATTATGTGTTCATTTTCTTCAACCAAAAATCTTTCAGGTTGACTCATGTAGACCTCTTCATCCAAATTCTCATTCAGAAAGACAACTTTCACATCCATTGGGTGTAACTCCAAATCATAATGAGCTATTAGTGTCATGATAACTCTAAATTAATCTTTCTTAGAAACCAGATAAAATGTTTCTTTATAGTTGATGTCATCTTTTTGAGTGAAACTTTTGACAACAAGTCTGGATTTATATCGTTCAATATTGGCATTCGAGTTGCGCTTAGTCTTAAAGACTCATTTCTACCCGACTCTTTTACAACCTTCAGACAATTCAACAATATCCCAGATTTTGTTGTGATCCATCGATTTCAACTCATTTCATTGCATCTAACCATTTAGAAGAATTTGCACTTTTTATGGCTTGTGAAAATGAAACTGGATCTTCATTTACTCCTAAGTCAAATTCAGATTCGTGTAGATAAACTACATAATCATTGGAAATAACAGATCGTTTTTGTCGTTGAGACTTTTTAGGTATTACTTCTTGTGGCTTGGAAATAACAGATCGTTTTTGTCGTTGAGACTTTCTAGGATTACTTCTTGTGGCTCATCTAATGCAGGTTCATTAGTGACAGTTTCATTGTGGGGTATTTGGCCATATATTTGTTGTTCTTGTAAGTTGTCAAACTATTCAACAACTGTAAGAATAACAACTTTAGAAGAAATTTTAGGTAAAGGAACTTGAACCCTAATTTCTTGGATCTCCACTTTATGTGGTTCCAAACTCCCACTAACTTCACCATTTTCAATGAACTTCGCATTTCCAGCTTAAATAATTCTTGTACTGTGATTAGGACAATAAAATCTATACCCTTTAGATTTTTA